TTTTCTATTGCCATGAAGAGACACAATGACCAATACAATTCTTAGAAAAAAAAAGCATTAAACTAGGACTTGCTTACAGTTTCAGGCTTTTGGTTCACTGCCATAATTGCTGTGAGCATGGCAGCATTCGTGCAGATTCTAATAACTACATCATTTTACCACTTTCCTTAATGCTAAGATTTTACTGCTCTCTGATCTAAACATCCCTCATTCTTTGTGGTAGTTTAAATGCCCACATAAGCTCATATGGAGTAACACATTTGGAAGTGTACTCTAGTTGGAAAGGGTTGGGTGACACATGTCTTTAATCTAGACCTTGAGGCTGGAGGGCACACTTTAATCTGGAGCACAACTTGTATTGGAAGTGTATCATTGCGGGGGCAGTCTTTGAGGTTGTGCACAAGCATTTTAAAGCATAATTTCATTATTAAACTGCAAGAGGGAAGGACCTGAATACGTGGACCATAATGTGAATGAAAGAAGTTTACAAATAAACGGTCAATCGTTGGCATATTACAAGATGCAATTTCCTAAGACAGTAATTATGACCAGAAACTCGGTGCTGGGAGGTCTCCAGTGGCTGTCAAGATCTTTTCAAAAAGAGTATTTAAGATGGACTACTTTCCTCAGACATATATCAAAACTGAAATGGAGGGGAGGTGCATAAAGCAGTCTGAGGTAGATATGGGAACCAAGGACTTTGCAGAGAAGATACATAAATGTAGGGAATCAATTCAGAGTCCTGCTCCCTATGATAGGGAAGCTAAATTTTTATCTACAAAGCTATCTCTATCATGACATGCAAATCTGGTTAACAATGCTGATTTGTGGGAAAACTGACATTACCCTGGCTTCTCTAGTCTGGACAATAGGGCATCATGTTATAGCCTCACAGGCAAAGGAAGATCTTGAAAACCAAGCATTAAATTCCAGCAAGGACAGTTCTGTAAAGTATCTTCCCACCCTTTAGAGTCAGAGTGGGGATAAGGACAAACCTTAATTGGTTGAATCTGGGAAGGTGTCAATTGCTGAAGAAAAGTCAAACAGCACAGATATTCTGGAATCAGTGGATATGAGCAAAATTGTGGAGGAAAAGCTCAACAGTAGAAGGAGAAAGTGGAGGCAAACTGTGCTTTCATGCCCCATCTTTGTCTTTGCATCCTCAGGCTGGATGCATTCAGGGTACCCCATCATGTGCCATCTGGAGTCTGTGCAGGAGCTCGTCAGTTTGGAAGACATGAGAAGTAAGGGCCTGTGGGGACCCATCCATGAGTTGGGTCACAATCAGCAGCGCCATGGCTGGGAGTTCCCTCCCCACACCACCGAGGCCACCTGCAATCTCTGGTCAGTCTATGTGCATGAGACAGTCCTGGGGATTCTCAGGGCTCAAGCCCACCCTGCATTGAAACCTAAAGAACGAGAGATGAGGATCAGAGACCATCTTCAGAAGGGAGTACCCCTGTCTAACTGGAATGTCTGGACAGCGCTGGAGACATATCTGCAGGTATGGAGCACAAATTCAAGGAGATGATGCTGACAGACTAATCAGTCATGTAGTAACTAACCTGCCTCCTAAGAGCGCTCCAATTCCTACATGACCCCCAAACCTGGTACCACTACCACCACCCCTTGATGTGGATCATTGATAGCATCTCTTAGCTCATATACTTGTATGATAAAAGTGAAACCTCTCCCAGTTCCAGACCCAGGATTTGGAATATACAAGGTAATGAAAAGTATATTGAGAAATTACATGGCATTTTTTTCTGTACTATCCTGATCTTTGACATAAAGGGAAGGCCCAGGGTCATATTCCAGACTTTTTTTCTCACTGGCTTTGCCCTTCATCTCCTAATAACTCTTCCATAATAGCCATTGTTTGGTTATAATTTGTTTTCCTTACCTTTAGAGTTTAGTAACTGTTACTAGCCTCTGTAACAGCAGAGAAATATCTACTTGCTATGTCTACCTGTAGACATATCTACAAGTTGGTATTGTAGGAAATATATCTACTAACTTTGATTACCTCACTAGAAGCAGAAGCATTGTTTGAATAAATGATAACCAAGCAATAGGAGAACAATGATGTCATAAAATTAGTCATTTTCCTGTGGGTAAGCATCTATTCCTGCCCCCCTCCAAAAAAAACATGCTTCCTGGTTTCCTGGTCAGTCATCAAAGCTTCTGGCCACAGCAGACGTTTTGCACTGTCTACTCCAACCCTGTTACAGAGCTAACAAGTCACAGAGGTTCATAAACTGTAAGTTGAGAATTTAGCCATTTTTTTTCAAAAGCACCCACTTAAACAGCCCATCTAGAACATAGAGTCGGGATTTAACAGCAAGCCCTGCTGCTACACTCTAATGTTTCCCTTCACTGATTTTGAAGACTGGGTGAGATATGGTCTCAGTCAATGAGTAACTCAACTCAGTCAGGTTGGGAAAAAATCTTAAGATCTGGATAATACATTAAAAAATAAAGCTAATAATAAACTGCCTTTTATTGAGTGGCTCTTTATCCATTAGGGTTTTAGAGAGCATCTGTCCTAGATTGCGGGATAGAGTTTGACTGTCAAGGGCTGCTGTGATCCAATAAGGCAGCATTTATATGGAAACACAGGATTAGAGATGGGACAAACAACAGGTTTGAAGGTGATGGGAAGCAGTTCCTGATGGCGAGATATATCTAGGACCATGCACACAGGCAGCATTCACATTCGCAAACTCAATACCATATTCCCCCTTTCTTTGTCTTTCCAGCTCCAGGAGACCTTTGGGTGGGAGCCATTCATCCAGCTCTTTGCTGAATACCAAACCCTCTCTGGCCTCCCCAATGACAATGAGAGCAAGATGAACTTATGGGTGAAGAAGTTCTCTGAAACCGTGCAGAAAAACCTGGTCCCCTTCTTTGAAGCCTGAGGCTGGCCTGTCCAGAAGGAATTGTCTGAGAGCCTGGCCCACCTGCCTTCCTGGCAGGATCACCCCATGAAGGTGTACATGAGTGTGGAGAAGTAAGGGATGTGGAGCAGGAGGGGCAGCGGTGCAGTGGGATGAGAAAGGACCACACTGCCAGCTTCACCACTGTGTTCTGGCTTGAGACTCTCACTGCCTTAACTATTTTTCTCAACCATTTTTCTTTACAATGTATTTTGGGTTGTTTTCAATATAATTCCAGTCTCTCTTTAGAGTCCAGAGCTCCTGTGAAATGAACTTAGAGAATGTCCCTTCTGACATCCCATCAGCACATCCTCAACTCAGGGACCATATTTTTAGATATTGACATTCCTTAGATAGTTGACAGTTGTTTTGCACATGAAAGGCATTAAGGAATTCTTGCTACATGAAAGAACACCAAGGTTTACTGACATAGAAGTCCAATTTCCTAGAAACTGTGCACAGTGTTTTCTCAGTTACATGGATAATAATTCCAGCAGATTTCCAAGGCCGATACAACTAACATCACCTCACCATATAGGAGAAAATGACATGGATATTAAACAAGTTCTGGAATCAAAACTGAGAAGAGAAAGATTCATGGTTTGACAGATGTCCATAACAATGATAAACTGTAGAGTGTATTCTCAACTGATTTGTAATTTTAACAAAAATTTTCCCAAAAGAGAGATGAAAGTTTAATGATCTCTAATTTTTTCCTATGTTCTTTGTTGCATTTTGACTAAATATCAGATTGAATCTCTCAATAGTTTTAGTATCTAATATTTTTAACCTCAGCATAGGCTCATCTGGCTTAGGGGGACGAGTCTTCAGAAGAAATTTGAACCAAGGTGTTTCAGTTCCCTAACTTATGGTATTCTTAAGTTATGATTTGAGGAAGGGTCGAGTCGAGGGATAATGCTGGAATTAGTAGGTTACCTAGGAGACAAAACCAAAACCTAAGCTTGCACACACCAACTGTTTGTAGGACTTTGAGCCCTGCGGTGGTGTTTTCTCACTTGTGCTGCCGGATGCTGCCTTAACCTCTCGTTTTAACGCTCGTGATTTTGAGTCTGTGGCTACAACATCCACAGATTAATCTTGGATGCATAAAACCCATTCTCCGCTCACAGTATTATTGTTCTAAGGTTAGAAACCTTATTAGAAGAAAATGTTGAAGAATAGTAAGCTCTATGACAAAGTCCCAGTGTGAGTGTGTGGGGAGTCATGAAGTCCCACCTCCAACTGAAGAGCTGTGGCAATCTATGGCTGCTGGGAGAGGAGTCAGCTTTCTTCAGAGCTGTAGCCCCCAAGAGGTTACCTACGACTTACACCACTCACATACAGGCAGCTCTGAGTGGACTTGGTGCATTTAATCAATGAGAATATGAATGTGGGGGGAATAGATATCTGGGGATGGGGCATGTGGAAAAGAAATGTGGAGTGGTTTTGATCAAAGCATCTTATGGGCGGGTATGGAATTCTCAAACAATAAAAAAGAACAACAAGCTAGATGCACCCAGCTTTTATAGATGGGAGTTTGTTCTTGTGATTTGTCTTAAACTAGACACTTTGGTTTGGTCACCTCTTGTACAGGGCATTGGTTTCTTGGATTGGGTCTCTCTCATGAGCCACCTTCTTTCTTGGAGTCAAAGTCCCATCAGTTCTCCTGTGTGTGCAATAGAAAGAGTCAAGCTGGTTTGGAAGGGATTGATTTACTTGTAGAAGGAAGCACGCGATCCCAGCTTGACCCATCTGATTCATATCGTCTAACCTCAACTAGTTCAAGTACTGGAAGGTGGTCCAGATTAAGTTGATGAAGGGCAAGTCACAGATTTTAATGCATAGATTGGAAAGCAGACATTGCCTTAGGTACTGGGGGGAAAAAACTTAATTGCACAAAGTTTTAATCATTGTAGTTAGACCAAGAGATGGTTGAGGGTGATTGTTCTTTTTGTTTGTTTGTTTGTTTAGAAAGTTTATAACAAGCTTGTATTATGATTTAGGAATTTCATAATGTAAGCATATTACTCATAGCATTAGAAATAAATTTTAATGATTCATTTATTTTTATTTTGCAAGCAGTGGTATTATGTATGGATGTGTGTCTGTGTGAGGGTGTCATATATCCTGCTTGGCTGTACTCTGCTAAGCAGTTGTCTGAAACAGCTTTATTCATCAACCAATAAAAGAAACACAAATGCAGAAGGGCATCTCACATCAAACTTCTCCCAGGTCCTCCCCACCTACCTGTCCACTTAACTTTTTGTTCTATCTTTATATATAATAAAAAAAAGTGGATGAAGTTTTCCTTGATTTGAGCACTACATGTATTTCAAGACTTGAGTCTCATCTCTCCCTTTCTTCTAGCAATGATAACCATGTCCTTTATGGACATCATCTTTCTTATCTCTAGACTGTTCACTGCTTCTGTATCTTTTTTGCATCTATCGACTTATACTTGATAAAAGAGTAGAGACTCTTCTGGCTTCTAGGCTTCCTTTATGGTAGAATGAAAATGAACAAACCAACAAAGCACATGTTCTACTGGGAATTATTTTTTAAAAGATGAAGAATCATAATGCATGCATGATTTTATATTTATCATAAGAAAGGGGAACAATTTTCCATTAGGTATTCATGTGTTTTTATTCAGACAGCAAACATAAATGGCCTATAATCTTTTAGAAATACAAATAATTTCAACTTATATTTTATCTGGTATTTAAATATCAGTAAAAAAAATAATCGATATGGCTTAGTGTTGCATTTAGTAAAACCTTGCCATGTAAGGAAAGATGCACCATCTTGGGACCCACATTATAGGATCATGATGGGGTGTCTAATCACTTAGAGCAACAGAGAAGTCTTTCCTAATTCACATGAAGCTGATATGTACTTAAAGAAGAGACATCTGTGTATTAAGTTGTATTAATATGTTGTTGCTTTTAAGGTCTTCTCTTTCAGCAATCCATCCATCTACTCATCTGCTATCTTCTCCTTCTTCAGTTCCTAAACTAAAGATCATTTTCTCTGGCCATGTCCTCATGCTTTGATGCAATCTGTGTTTTCCTTGTATGACAATCATCCCCTAGGTAATGACTTAGATGATGTCTCCCACTCCATGGAGACTTTGTCAAAGCAGAGACCATGCTCTCTATTTCACTGCTGTGCTTGCTAACCCACCCCCACCAGATATGAGTCTGTCATGAAGCAGGTTGGCTGTGGGTATTCCCTGCACTAGCATACTCTAAACAATCTGCAATTGCAGCGAAGATCAGAAGTGGAGTGCTGATGCCTGTTCCTGCTCTGTCTTTGAAGGACTATCCTATCTATCACAGTCCAGGAAAAAAAAATAACACTTCCACTCTTCCACAGTAAAGCTTCAGTGGTGCAGTTACCATAATTCCCTGTGCCTAGCCTCTGAATGCAGGCTTCATTGTGAGCATGGCTTTTCCAATTCCATGTGTGTGAGTGTGTGTGTGTGTGTGTGTGTGTGTGTGTGTGTGTGTGTGTGTATGAGTGTTCTGCTGCTGCCTAGTGCCTACAGAAAACAACAGATGTTATTGGATCCCTTTGGAATGGAGTTAAGATGTTTACTTCATGGAAAGCAGAAGCCACATCTCTATACACCTACAGGTGATGAAAGAAGAGAACATCACTTTCCCGTGTTAGGGGTAAACTGAGAAATAAGGGATTTGGGGGATGGTTAGAAGTAAAACTGTAAAGTCTATCAAGCCCCAGTCTATGGGACAAACCCAAGTGAGAAGTACTGCAGACAGATGGAGGAAGGAATCTCTTCACCCTGAGGAATAAAGAGCTCACTCTGAGGTGAAGCCCCTCAGCAATCACTTAAAATAACACAAGGATCCTACAAGCTGCCAACCCAGAGGGGCAACTGGACTAGCTCCATTTAAGAAGTCTCTCAGTGGGACCTCTATAGTTTTATGCTTTCCAACAAATTTCCTGCTTGACTTCATTGTCCTTTCAAAGCAGCAGATACAGAGTGGAAAAAGGTGTTTTCCACTGATAATTCTGAGGGAGGACTGTCTTAGTCAGGTTTCTCTAGAGGAACTGAACTAACAGGATGAGCATGTATATATAGAAAGGGGATTTGTTAGAATGAATTATAAAATTTAGTCCATGTAACCCAACAATGGCTGCCTATGAACATAAGTTTCAAGAATCTGGTAGTTGTTTTCAGTTCACAAGAATGAATGTCTCAGGTGATCTTCAGTATATTCTGGAGCCCCAAAGAAGTTCTAATGCCAGTGAGTGTTGGAAGGCCCTTCTGGCTGGTCCAGGTTGCAGTCTCTAGGGGTTTGGCAGCTTTTCCCATAAGTCTGACAATGTGGAAACTCCCTCCCTCCCCAGAAAAAAATTTTCCCTCTATTTGCCCTGGTAGAATGTTTCTAGGCCTGGAGGACTGACCTTATCTGAAAGTTGTATCTAAACCAGGTGCTTGACTTATCTTTAGCTTGAATCCTGGCACAGATTCCTCCTAGCAGACTTGTGCTAAGAGTTCTGCTATAGGACCCTACTGCCTCATAGGAAGCCTTGTGATAGAAATGTGTCACTTAATGCAAATTAGGGTTTGTCCCCAGGCTTCCCAATCCTATGTATTTCTTATACCCTGGAATAAAGTTGAGCTGATTCACCAAAGTCTGTCTCCAGAGGGCTGTCTCTGTCATACACACAGTCGTCCTAACCCTGTTTCCCACTTCTGCTCCTTCCATCCTTCTGGACCAATGCAGTGAATGATCCCAGGGAAGAGGAAGAACCACAAATGAGGAAATGGACTTGCTAGGAAGGGCTTCTTTCTTCCATCTCCTTAAGGTAGGCTGCCAGCAGAAGGTGTGGTCCACACTAAAGGTAGATCTTTCTAGCTCAATAGATCTGGATTGAGTTTATTTCCCCACTTTAAAGATCCACATTACAAGTAGGTCCTTCCACTTCAATTGACTTAATTAAAAAAAAAATCCTTTACAGATATGTCCAGTCATTTGGGTTTTTGTTAATTCCAGATGTAGACAAATTTACAACCAAGAAGAGCTGTCACAAGGACTAATAAAGATATATGAAGAACAGAATAACCAGGATCAATAAAACAAATTACAGCTCACGCTGGTGAGGATGTAGAGTAAGGGGAGCACTCCTTCATTCTTGATGGGAGTACAAACTTGTGCAACCACACTAGAAATCAGTGTGGTGGTTCCTGAGGAAGCTGAGAATTGATCTACCTCAAGACCCAGCTATACCACTCTTGGTCATATACCCAAAGGAAACTTCATCCTACTACAGAAACACTGACTCAATCTTATTTATTGATGCTCTATTCATAATAGCTAGAACCTGGAAACGATATCAGTGTTTCTCACTAAGAATAGATAAAGAAAATGTGGTATATGTACACAATGAACATTACCCAGCTGTTAAAATAATGACATCATGAATTTTGCAGATAGATGGATGGAGTTAGAAAAAAAATCATTCCTGAGTGAAATAGCCCAGACCCCAAAGGAAAAATATAGTATGTATTCACTTATATGTGGATGCTATCTGTTAAGTCTTCTGTAAGCAGTCTATAATCCATAAAAGCACAGAGGTTAGGCACAGAATAAGGGACTAGGGGGATGACTAGATCACCCCAGGAAAGGGAAATACAATAGATGGATGAGGAGGCTAGTACAGGAGAATCAAATGGGAGGGGGAAGGAAAGGTCATGGAGGGAATAAGGGGGGGAACAGCTGAAACTAATGGCCATTTGAGGGATTGTATGGAAACTTAATACAGTAGAAGCTTCCTAAAACATATACATATGTGAAAGCTATCTAAATTGAATTGCCTAATTCCACGGAAATCAGAACCACAATTGCAGTGCAAGAGCCAGAGAGGATCAAGGAATGAAAGGTCTTCTAACCACAGCAGGATCAATGCACATATAAACTCACAGAGGTTGTGGCACTATGCACAGAACCTACACAGGTTTTGGGCCCAAGGAGTCCCCTAGTGCTGAGAGGAGAAGTCGTCCCAAGCCCCCATCCCTAATCCAGAAGCTATCTCCAATTGATAATACTCACAAATTTAAAATTAGTTTTTTCCAGAGAGTCCCACTGGAGATGCAAACCATTCTTAAGGCCAGGTCCCTTGTCCAGCACTATATTCCTGACACAACATGAACTCAAGGATACTTTTGGAGGTTGTTTGTTGTCTCACAGTGCTCTGCCTGAGCTTTCCCCCCACTTTCCCTACAGGTCTTTGCTTATGATTTCTGATTCTTCTTTTGAGAATTTCTATTCATGCTAATTTACATGTCTCTGCATCTATTTGTGTTTCTTGTGCTTTCTCTTTGGCTCTTTGTTTGCTTGTTTGTTTTTCTTTTTTGGCCTGGTCTTCATGTTTTTATGTTATTTTATTTTTTTTGCTTTTGAGTCACTTATTTTTTTTTCATTAGATGCCTGCTTGTTTTCTAAAGGAGCAAAGCAGAATTAGGGAAGTTGAGAACCAGTGACTTAAGGTACGTGTACCTTGGTTGAATGACCTTTATTATCCAGTAATAGTTTTCTGCTTGAATCCCGAATATGCAGTCCAGAATTTGAGTGGGGTCTAATGCAGGCAGAAGCTTGGGCCATGGCGAATCTGACAGCAAGTTAATACTATCCCATCAGCATACGTACCTTAGGTCAGTGGTTCTCAACCTCCCTAATGCTGCAACATTTAATACAGTTTCTCATGGTGTGATGACCATAAGCCAAAAAATTATTTTTGGTGCTACTATATGGTTGTAATTTTTCTAGTTATGAATTGTAATGTAAATATTTGTCTTTTCCCATGGTCTTAGGTGATCATTTTGAAAACCACTGACTTAGGGTATGATCAACATCCTGTCCTACCTACACTAGTTTAAAATCTCCAAAAATAAGGGCTTAGTGATGCCATAGAGAAAGTTGGTCTTAAGTTCAAGACCTTTGTTTTCTTAGGGATATTCCAAATCCATGATTACTGTATTGGATGAGAGAACCACAACCTTCATATATGGTATGATATCCAGAGGATGAAAACAAACT